ACTGTGTGATGTGCAAGTGTGGGACGATTAACCAAACTATTTGGTCACTTGCCTCGGGATGTTTGCCCTACAAGCCTAATGGTGGTACAGCGAAAATAAAAGAAAGTTTAACGTTGCCACCAAGTGAATTTCTAAATTAAACGTAAGCTCCTGAAAACTTTCTTCGTCTGCTACAGTTTTTTGCCCGTCTGCAGTTTCTTGGCCGCTATTTACTGAGTCATCTGTACATCTGATTATTGCTGACTTCAGAAATCATTAGGTGTTTTTAGCTTCAATCCTTGAGGCACCAAAACCTGCTTGCCAAAGGCGTGTATTTGGGTCGGTTTTTTGGACCCTGCTGCTTGAATATCATCCGGAAACGCCTGAAAGATATGATTTTTCAACGGTCTATTCGTCACGGTTAGATGTCGAGGACGTAAATCAGAATATTCACGTTCCATTTAACCGGTATGCATAATCAATCCAAGTAAGTACGACATTTTGTTATTTCTTAGTTAACGTTTCGATTTATTTTGATTTTCCAAAATATCTCGTTCCCGCAGAGGAGATGATCACTTTTTTCCGCTTTAGTCATAATTCTGAACCATTTTCCGGTATGGAAACCTCAGTGAGTGATTTTTCCCTCATGTGCTATCCTTTTGTCTATGGATAGTTGCACATGCATGAGCGATATCGGTCTGTTCGTTTGTTTTTCTTGAGGTTACTGTTTTCTTCCAACGATACTTCGGCTTCTTCCACTAAACTGTCATTTTACGACCAAGCTTGACCGCAGCTTCTCAAGTGACCCATAACTGCCAACGTTGATTTATTTTAGGAGCAGAAGGTAATTGGTTTCCCGTTGCGTCCAACTGAAACCAAGGAGGAAGGACAGGTACACTTTTCAGAAGCAGCTGTTTTAATCGTCATCATAGGCTAACTGGAGTTGTCGATAAGCCTTTAGCTTGGCACCTGAAAGGTGCAACTTCGAGGCATAACGATTTTCTTACTAACTGTTAAATCTGTTGAGGAAAGAATTCATCACTGTTTTGGTGAACCATGCAGCAACCAATAGAACAATAGGAATAGTATATGTGTTAATAATCCATCAGACTATCGATTCCGGGCCCATAGTATGTGTGTTGGTGTGATAACGCTAAAGCTTGTGAAAATTGTTGCTATGCTGCATTGTATGCACGCCTTGAAGCTACAGTGGGCTGTAGACTAGACCATCTGGCAGCTGGCTAGAAATAAGCATAGAGTGCAAATCAGACATGAAATTCTTTTATTTACTGAGGCAAAACGTATGAAAGCAAAACAGTGCCTGTCTGCGATGTTCCTGCTGTTTTTATGAGACAGCTTTGAAATGACACGTTTTCATGTTAAATAACGTTCACTGCCTCAACAGAAATCCAATTTCCTTTCGCAAGCAGCTCTGTCTTTCTATCAGTTTCCACTACCATTTACAATATTTGCAGGCAGTAAGCGGTTCACGTACGAAATGTACTGATCGTTTCGCCTGCACATCAGATGGCAAACTTTTACTGCCACCACTGGCAATGGTGTTAAGTGTTCAACCATGTTTCGCAGCCCATTTTTGCCAAAGCATTTCTCCAGTTTGTCATGCGGACCACTGGTTCTTTGTCGATTTCTGTGCTAATTGTTGTCATGTACTTTGACAGAGTAAACAAACGTTTTTTTCTTGTTTACGTTAGGACCACGGAATGACATTCATTAATCACGTTTTTGCTGGTAAGTGTTTATCTGAGTTTATGTCAAGCGTTGAATTACTCTGCTACTGCCAAAACCAATAGCCTTTTTAGCCTCGACAGTGCCAGAGGCACTTTCGATGCTCACAGATGGCAATGTCGTTCCCAGTAGAAACTTTTCTATTAATTTCTA